TGGTTAACACTCCAGTAACCACCAAGCTAAGCCCTTCTTCCTCTAGCATCCTCTTCCACACGTCATGGATTCCACACCACCTTACATCACACCCACTGATTCTTCTCAGAACCATCACTCTCTAATATGGAAAAGATTTATTCCACATGATTTACCCCCAAAACTTTCTCTCAGTCATGATAATTAACATCATAATATTAATAATTACAGCATTTATATTGCGCCCTCTCCAGCAACAAGTTGTTTTGGGGCACAGTACAAAGACGTTCAAAAATTACATATTGCATTAAAAAATTTAAATAACTGTACACACTCAAACAGTAAGAATACCATACTTAAGCTTAAAGACAAAAATTAATAAAATAAACATACATAAAAACTGAGTGACAGTATATGTTAAAAAATTAAAACATTAGCCTTAAATTAGATTTCAAAAAACAAACAGCAGCAGCAGCAAAAATAATTAAGCAGAACGACGGAATCAACCAACCAAAACATTACACGATCCTGCCCCCCAATAATCATTAAAACAACAGAATGCTTTCTGACAGAATACACTTTTTTGTTTCACTTTGAAGGATTTTAAAAAACGCATCATCACAAGTCATGTGACATCATTTAAATGTCCTTTGACTAGAGAATTTTGAGTCCTTTTGGGTTCAAGCGTAAGAATACGATGAATTTCTTAGCAGTTGCCTTCATAGTCAATCCTCAATAAGCTTTTTGCGAGTGACCTTTGAATAAAATCTGGTACACTGAGTTCTTGAAATTCACGGGAACATAATAATTTGAATTCTCCATACTAAAACCATGCTGCTATGGCTCATGATTAATTACGGGGGGAGACGCCTTGCATCAATACACTATTTCCAATGGATAAGAAGGGCACAAATAAACCAGTCCACTCTAAAGATGGTGGTCACTACGCGAAAGCTTGCCCCGAATCAAGAGGTATAGCAACAGCATCTTTAGTGTGGGGAATTAAAATTGTTATTTCTGTGTGCTATCAAATAACTCAGTGTACCAGATTTTATTCAAATTTAACCCGCAAATGGCTTATTGCTTGGGGCTTTGGTAGTGCTGCAAGTACATGTACACACAGGTGCCAAGGTTCGGTTTGGGTTCCGTTTGGACACACATGTACATGTACAATGCACATGTGTTGAGACATCGAAGAGCTCACTACGATCGTGCTGTAGTACTTCCGTCTATACCACGAATACATAGAATATGTTAAAACAAGCAATGAATCACCTCTCCTTCCCCATCCACGAGAAACTTCATTTCAAACATTTTTTTTCAAACTGTTTCCCCCAAGTTTGTTTAGGAGTTCAAATTCCTTAGAAAGTTACCGTCGGATGTGTGTGACAGTTTCCGAAAGTGGTTGTGTTTGGGCCATGCTTGACTCAACAAAATGATCATAGGACTTGTGAAAACAGAAAAAACAGCATGCTTAAATGGGAGTTTCCTCCTTTTCAGGATACAAAATAAAATTAGATTTCGAGCAAATTAGGGCTTAGTTATTCATGAAATACATGTAGACTCAACTACCAAACTATGGCATTTGATGAATTTGAAGAACCTTGGTAGCAAGTCAGCATTCTTTTCCACGACAGCGCCCAAGTGGCCAAAGGCGCAAATTTTCCATCAGTCTTTGCAAACTGATAACAGAATTTGTTATTTGAAATTTGCAAACAACATAGAGATCTGGCAAAATTCCCTTACAACCACGATCAACCATGGTAAAACAAAAGGCAACTTAGGCCATCACGTGAACCAAATCCTGTCGCGCATTGGTGTGCGGCAACGGCTGCCCGGCAAAATCAACATTCCCTCCAGACTTGCCTTCGCTTTCCCCTGCCTCCATCATGACCATATCCGCGATCATCCCTTTTACCCATCATCTGAAAACAAGGATTTTCGTGTTTTTAATGGGCTTTTGGATGTTTGTGGAAAAAGAGCACGATGGCCAAGGTAAATAAAAAATAGGGAAAGGCAAAATTACATGTAGCCATGCGGACAGAAATTTTTGTGACGTTCCTTGGCCAGTGAGAACGACAGCACTGGCCATCGTGGCCATCATTCATTTCAAGGCCTGTTAATGATGCTTGTGACAAGTATTTTGACAGTGAAATCTGATTTTCATTTTCAACATCTGTAAAGCCACTAGGCCTACACACAGATATATTGCAACACTGACTTGCTGTACAAAGTGATGCTTGCTACCAGTTGCCGGGTACATCTACATGTACAGTACAGTACATGCATGTTTGTGCAAAAACCCATTCTCCTGGTCGGACATCCTGGAACTTCTGTACATTACTGAATGGCCAGAGGGAGTAAATTTGTCCCTTTGCCGAGTGTTAAAAATCCGTAGTGACATCATGCTGACTGCGAGAATGCAAAATATAACATTTTGTGTGGCTTTTGTATCCATGGCTACATGTACATGTAAATGTATGCATATGTACATGTATTTGTCTCTGTATCAGAAACAATGCATCAACAAAGCCAACATGCCAAACAACCCAAGCACACACTAAGTATATGCACATTTAATTTTGCTTGGTGTAAATAATGTAGGTACTGTACGTATACGCTGCAGATACCGGTACTTTAAAACTGATATGACTGAATGACTGAAAATGGGCTAGGCCCTACATGTACATGTACCGGTATGTATGTTATTTGTGAATGCTGCTCTTGCATGCTGCATTTAGAGCATGTAATTGGGAATTTGTTCCACCTTGTGTTATTATATACGTAGGATGTTAGGTTCTACAAATGTGTGCATGAATTCAAAATGTCTATCAGCCAGGAGGCGTCAAAGCTTCTCTGTGTAAAGACTGACAAGTTAGCTCTCTATGCTTGGACCGTGGGCCCTTCTTTCACCTGATCATTTCCAGCAACTACACTGTTGCAGTATTAAAGCAGAAGTAAATCAAATGTTACACGTGTTAAAAGAGACATTTTTTTTGGTAGGTCTAGGCCTAACCCTCTTACGCTAAGATACATTCTTGAAACAGTTGTCATATCAGTCAAAAGCAGTCAAATTTCCCATATGTGTCTGTGTACTGGGGGAAATCATGTGGAGGGCATTTTTGACTATTTTTGACGGTTAAAACAAACGGAGCTTGTTACATTGTTTGTTAGGCCATGAGAATAGGGAGGGAGTGCGGTGGCCTCAACGTGACCAAACATTAATGTTCACCGGGGAAACAATCTGTGTAATGAATTTTTTGCAGGAAGGACAAAAATTTACCCCAAAATAACTGTATGTTCGAGGCCACACCCCCATGTGCTACCGTACAGGGGACTCGGAGTTAATATTTAGTCATGTTGAGGCCACCGTCACTTGTTGATAGTGACGGTTGGGAGGCCACCATCACTTGTTGATCGTGACGGTTGGGACTGCTACCAACAACTGTTTCCTGGTCAATTACATCTTGTGCCCTGACTGCATTTGGGCCTCTCCTGCAGCTCAGTAAGAGGACCATGTCCGCCCATAGAGGAAACAGTCGGTAGCACTCCCAACCATAACGATCAACTAGTCTTATGCCCAGACCACGTACATGGGACACTAATGCTTGTTTCTGGGAGGACACTGTTTTGCCTGTAGAGTTATTGCGAATTCTAAATCTCAATTCGCGCATTTGAAAGGAATACACAGCAAAAGGTTCAAGTGCTGTGCGTGTGTTGAGCAAAATCGGTCAGATTTGGACAGTTTTTATGTCAGAAATATCACTGAAGCCCCAACTGTTTGACGTTGGCATTTATGGAAGCCAGTAGGTGGTGATAGAGGATTTTTTTGTTGAGTCTTTGGAATTTTTGAGAACTGTTTCAACCTTACTATATCTACAGGAGTGGGGCGCTAGTAATAGTATGATGATCCTGTCAAAAATCGAAAAAGAGGAATACTAAAGCTCCACTGAGTAGAGCTAGGCCTACCTAGAGACTAATCCAATTTGAGGCCATTATTGCAGTGGCACCGCATTCACACGTACATGTACATTCTTCAGACATATGTAATAAACAGATTGAGCGACAAGATACATGTACCAATGGGCTCTTTCAAAACTTTGGCAGCAGTTTAGATGTCTTGACATGGAAGAGCCATCGAGACGACGAGGGGTCAAGTGACGTAACCTTATTTTAAAGATGGCGAGTGTGAGAGTGAGCCCATTAGATTGGATGGATAAAGGCAAAAAGACTGAAAAGTACCTAAATAACGTGAGTGAAATCATTCAATAAATAGTTTTTAGAAAGCGGAAAGGTCAAGAATCATGTTCGTGTGCAAAAGAAATTGCGCCCACGATTATAAGTGGGTGCGCCGAAAATGTTCAGTACGCCGACACGAAATTGCGTATACAGATGTGTGGCTAAGGATGGATCGGGAGTGTGTGTCCATGCCACACTACTAGTGGGGCTATGCCGGTGACTAAGTTCGTAAACTATTATGTAAACATACCGTTCAGAAATCGCTCCGCTGTAATTCTCAGATGCTCATGTTCGAAATAGCAGTGAACATCAAGCCTTCAGAATGTTGTCACAGGAAATCAGAGGACTCCTTTTGCGAGTTTTGGACTGCAAAAGACATGAAATAATTATTATGCGACATCGTACGAATCTGCTTACATGCAAACAAGATGCCAATATTTAACAATGAAAACACTAGATATTTCCTTTCAAATTATTTCTCTTTTCAAGCAAATATATTTTTCAAAAATACCTTTAATGTATGACAAAAACCCAGGATTTAATTTCACTAGTGCAATATATTTTCTGACATTTAAATAACAATTGAACGAGGCACTTGCTGACCTTTATACTGTACTAGTTACAGAAATATTAACTCGGTACCAGTCTTTCAAAAGCTAATTTCAGGATGCAGGTATTTTCACTTTTCAAACAACACTGAAAGGTTTATTTGCTAAATAAATGGTATTAGTCTTCACTTAAAAAGGTGATTTTCTAAGGCTGATATTTATGAACAAACAGAGCCTTGGATTTAGAAAGCTTTTGAAATTAGAATATTATCTGACTTACAGCTAGTTTACCCATTATAGTCACAGACATAATAAGGGGAGTTTACGCCCTCTATCAGTCTCCACCAGTGTGGGCGTAGGGCATCCCATTGAGGACTGTGGCGACGGGTGTTCATGCAGTATATTGGGCGTCGGTGGGGGGAGGTCTTGCCTACTTAAGCAGTGTTTATTATTTTTCCCAAAATTTAAATTTCAGGCGTCCTTGATTTTTTTCCCTGGTTTTTCAGGAAACGATTACCTTATTGTCCAGGCTTTTCGTACTTGGGAATTTTCTAATATAAATATGTAAACCGTTAAATCTTCATTAAATTTCTGTGCATAGGGCCTATTTTGCATGGGTGACAATATAAATTTAGTAATGTTGCTCACACAGATGAGGCAATAATTTGGCATTGTTTAGCTAGAAAGTCGCATCAGTGGGTCTACCTTTCAATTAAACAAGATTCTCAGCTGCGATCTTAACTGTAACGATAAAAAAATGGTTGAACCTTAAAACGCTTTGAGTCATTATGATGGACGCACTTTCAAAATAAGGATGACCGTCCAATAAACTGGATAAATGTTTACTTCGAAGCAACTTCTGGGGAAATTACAAACAAAACTAACTCCCCGTCATTCTACATGGGATTTTCACAGGGGGAAAAACAACTGATTCCTAATTATATTCTCTCGTGTTTTGAGAAGGTCTATGTTTAAATCGAGCCAAACATACACATGTATAGGCGTAGGGGACGGAAGATACAAAGCGACACGTTTTCGTTCGCCTGGGGTAGGCCTATATCTGTCTCGCCAGGTGTGTTATTTGTGAAGTGTCCGTTAGGGTTTTAACTGAGATCCCATAATTATACATGTCGTGAGCTCATGATTATGGGACTTGAAGTTGAACTGCTTGCATGTCCTGTGTAAACGAACTGAAAGTTGAAACTGCTTGTGTGCCAAATAAGTTCTCACGCAAACATCGGTGTGTCGGCGTGATCAGACGTGTAGCCTACGTGATTCCGGTACAACCGGGTATTATTTTTGATTCAGTCCAAGGGCGGCAATGATGAGGTTACCCTCCACAAATTGTATCTTATTAGGTACCCGAAGACCCGGGTCGTACGTGTATTAATATTCCCCGAAACACCGAATTATCGGAAGTCGCCCGGTTTAATCAGCGTGTTTCCCTCAGCGAGAATAAGACATTTACAAACTGAGTTTTCCCGCTCCCTGTCGGACTGGTATGTATGTCAGTGAAAGAATGTTTCTGACTCCCATCCATTCTGACTACATGAACCTACTGTTGTAATGTACTTGATTTTAAAGGCTAAAGATTTCACTTTGTCTTACCCCTTTTCCTCCGTTCCTACCCACGGAAAAGAAAAGTATATCTTGTAACTATTTATTAATTAAGCAGGTGTTGAAAATCAACAATACGACTAAGAGATACCGACCCTGTCTGTTTTCCCTCTTTTTTGAACTTTTTTTTTTCTGAATCATGATTTTTCCTCAATAAAATTAAAACAAAGCGATTACCGGAAGCTCATCAAATCCAAATGACAGCCAAATCAATATCAAGGTATTCTAAACTTACCGATTTAAATAAGGAACTTTAAAAGTCAAATTCAATTACCAAATTTTAAGATATCAAATGCAAACTAAAACGAATCTAGATGTGCAAAGCAAACCTTCTGGCGTCATAGACATTATATATTAAATCCAAGCAAATCCAAATTAAAAGAAACATAAATTCAGTGAAATAATTTTATAGCAGAGAAATCAAAATCGGACTAATCAAAAGCAGCAACTACCGTTGCATTTTCTTGAGCATGTGTACGACAATCATATTATCAAACCACACTTGTGTTTGTTTGTTGTTTTTACAAATCGAGGTAAGTTGTAATTTGGCCGTCATTTCCGATTTTCCGACATTATTGCCCTTCGCGAACTCCACAGTCAACTCCCGATCTATGGACTTCTGACCTTAAAACATTCATTTATCTTTTCTTGTGTTATTTGTTTGTTTAGAGTATTAAGCCCTTGCAATTGATTTTGTTCCTGGCTCCAAAACTAAACTAGGTCTTTGTCTTTCTGCAAGGTTAAATGGTCCCATTCCTTTTTCATTCCACTTTGAACAGGCGATTTTTTTACTCATAAGTACAGTGCTTATCGGTATCCTTTCTTATGGCACCCATGTGGATTTTCCCTGATATCAAAAAGGCCCATGCTGATTTTGTTCTTGACCTCATGATGACATGCCGCGACACAGCGAAATCACGCCCCTTTACATTTTCGAAATTAGACGGCTAAACGAACTTTAAGCAAAAAAGGTCGTAATAAAAACCCCCACATTCTGTGCTTTGCCAACTCTTTCATAACCGTCTGAAGTGAAAGGTTGCAATGTGCTAAAACGTTTCAGTTGACAAAGATTGAGTACCCTTGACACTGCAAATCATTATTGACATTAACCCTAACTCCCTGGGATGTGTGCAAAATCTTATCGAAATTGGAGGATTCAGGGCTGTTAGGGTTAATGTCTCAGCTGGTTTTCCCTAATACACCGAACTCCCTGGCAGTTTCATGGTGTCAGTTGAAATGTATTTGATTGATCGCTGTGTCACCAGCTCTCCGGGTATCGTTGACAACAATTCCACAATTCCCCCAACTGCCGTGTCGAGTAACTTCGGCGTGTTTTTTATCGTGTTTGGGCACTCGCAAATCACACTCATGAGCGGATCCGGGAGGCGTGGGGGCGAACGCTCCCTTTTTTTCACCCAAAACAAAAATAGATACACGTAAATAAAAACGAAGGAAAAGAAGAAGGGAGAAGAAAAAAAGAGAGTTCGTGCTGCCTGAAATTGCACCACACAGCGCCTAGAATCCAAAATGGTTCCCGACCCTATGCCGTACGGGCATTTTACCCTTACTTCTTTAGTCCCCCCCCTGAAAAATCCGGGATTACGCCCCCCTTAGAAAATCCTGGATCCGCCCCTTCTACTCAACAAGACTGAAGACTGTCATTCCTAACGATATCAAGTATTTGTTGCTCGGTCATTTACTTTCTTTGAAATAACGAAAGATGAATTGAAGTTAGAAAATGTCCTGAGTTTTAAATTCTCCCGAAAAGCTCCCAGTTTACACTCTTGCATTTCTGTTGAATAAGACCCCTGTCTCCTGCTGACGGATGCAGAGGTGTGCTCAGTTTCGTTATATACGATGTTTCTGATGAGCTAACTTGCCTAACTTGGTTGAACATTGGCCCTCTTGAAGTGGCAATATCTGGCCGAGCCAATAACACCTGTGTAAATGATAAAGGCTTACTGTGTTAGCCTTTTGACTGAAGCCATCGATGGGTAACTTCCGCTCCCCTCGAATACATACGCTATTTCGTTATCATAACAGTTTGTGTAGGATACAAATTTTACTACTTTGTCTTGATTCCCATTCTAACCATACAATGTGCCATTACAATGTGGTATTGCATATGGCCGACGGTATCCCACATGTGAGAAAAGGGATGGAGGGCGTTGGCATCGGAACCCAATAACCATGCATTTCACGCCTTTTCGACCCGTCCCCAACATTTCTCGTAATACAGGTTGAAAACTATGGATGGGTCAACCGCTTCGCTTCGTTTGAAATATAGAGATCTTTTTTATGGAAGATTAGTGTTGGTCAAGTTCGGGCGGCCTGTTCTTGACACGGGGGTTCTTCTTGTTGCACTTGAAAGGCAAAACACTGCCCAAGAGCACTCTTCTCCGAGGAGGTACAACAGTCACCTCGTCAGGATTGTGCACTGGTTGAACTCACAGAAAAAAAAAACACGGGGTTTTGATGTGTGAAAAGCTGCAAATATAGTCAGATGGTCGACAAGGCTGGGGACGACGGGAGGAGCATTTAAAATCAACATGCATGAATAATTTTCCATAACACAGAAATGAACGTTCCTTTTTAAAAAGGAAAGAATGCATCATAGAAATGCAGACATTAACCCTTTGATAACGTACATGGACTCCACCACGCTGAACGTTGCCGCCAGCGATAACCCATGGTGTTGAAGCAGCCGACCAGAGAACAACTCCTGAACATGATACGAGAACTAGCCGTCCGAACTCAGCCATTGATGTAGCGGCCGAGAGTAAGACGAGGTGAGAGACGAAACACAGAAATTGCACATTTCAACATGACATTCATACCCTATTCAGCGTTTCGAGAAAGATTACAACGCCCACATTATTGTAACAGATTGGAAAATTCTTCATACTCTTCATGTTTTGTTCTCCCACATGAATTGAAAGTAGGCCTATGCATTCTTTTCGGTGACTGCAGAAACTAATTAGTCCAACAGAGGGCGCTATAACAATTTACTGGTGTAGAATTCATACCTACTTCAGTGTTGTATTTAAATAAGATAAATGGATATTCTCAGTTGGATTTATCATCCAAAGTGTCATTTTTATTCTCGTTTAATTGTCACATGGCCTGGAGCATTTTCATCACGTTTACCGGTGTTCATGTACTGATTACTGTTGAAGTTTTCCTTTGTGTTTCAGCATAAAGTAAAATTCAGAACTTTATCGATCAAGAGTAATAACGGAATCACATTCAGTGATGAGATTAAAACCCAACTAACTACCCAGTCCTGCACATTAATGTTATGATTTTTCAGCTTACTGAAAAAAATCTGTGGGGTATTTATTCCCGGCCTTCGGATTTTCAAGACAATTCAACCGGTCGTGCGGAGAATACCCTTTTCTTGGGGCTCGTCAAATTTCCCGTAGCTGTAGCCCGGC